ATTCTCAAGAGAATGACACGTGGTCTGAAATGAGTAAACATTACGCCCAAGGTAATGGGGTCTATTGCAGGGGTAGGCTTGAGAAAGGTTTGAAAAAAGTTAGCTTTGAGGGGGGAAACCCTTATAGTTATTGAAAATAACATATTTATTATCATAGGTTTAAGATACGGAATATGAAATAAAATCATTTCAAACGTGTAAAAAAAAAAGAGTTTCAAATATGAAAAGCTGTAAAGCTTGAGGAACTAACTTCTGTAAAATTTGAATAAATAAACGAAGAAATGGGATATTATAACAAAGTGGTTTTTTTATAAAGTAAATACAAATGAGATTTAGAAGAATATATTTTTGCGTGGAAGATATCAGAGAACAAAGAGTACCCTCGAAGCACAGGAGAGAACCAGCAATATGAGTAGAAGCAAGAGAATATTAACTAAGAGAAGGATTCCTACCTATATAGTCCTTGTAACTATCATGTGCACAGTTTGATGCTATTTTTAAATTTGAGATATTTTGAGCGAAGACCCTGATTGGCTGATTTCTTGAGGGTAGGCGGCTTCCAGTCTTGCAGTAAACAAAAGCTTGTGTTTTTGTCGTGGACGTAGCGAAATATGGCGCTTTTCGTGTCCTGAAACGAGGCATTAAAGGGAAGCATGATTATCGCGCGGGCATGGTAACGAGTTAAAAATATCATCGATGATTCTAAAAATAGTATCAAAGTGTGCACATGATGAGACACGGGGATTCCTTCTCTTAGTTCATTTTCTCTTGGTAGAAGAGACTCGGCGCCTTGCGTTATTGAGCCAGAAATAAGACTTAGGGTCTGAAAACTTGTCCCTGGTAGACTGGATACCCTCTACACCGACTCTACCCTGTGTCACCCTACTGCTAGGGCTACTCTCTTTGCGAAATAGGATGTCGACCCTGGTATATACCCGGGACAACTTTCCCCATGTAAACACTTCAACTCGCCTAACCGAAATAATTTTTTTCGTTTGAGCATGCGTATCTTCATTGACACCGATAGCTGTCCCGGGTTCAAAGGGACAACTTCGTTCCATATAAACCTAATTGAAAAAACGTTGTCGGGTTCGAGAAGGTCATGCCATCAAAGCTAAGACCGAAGGGGAACATGGGAAGACAAACAATTATACTAATTTCATGCGTATTGCAGTTTTCCCTTCCTGTGCACATTTTATGCATCATGGCTTTGGCATGTTGTTAATCTAGGTCGACCAACTTTGCTCTACTGTGCATTTTTACATGTCTATATGCAAATATCATACACATTTCGGAGTACCCAAAATCCTTTTCGGTCTTAGCTTCGATAAAATGACCTTCTCAAACCCGACTACGTTTTTTAATTAGGTGTAAATGCTTGATATAGTTGGCTCGATTAGAAAGGTGTCCCTGCTACCAGGGACAAGTTAAGTTTTCTTCATGTACACGTCCCCTTAGTGGCCACATATAGGTTTACAGACTGCTTGAGGCAGCACTTCAAACCATAGTTAATAGATCGGAATGGTTGGGAAACCTACTGTTCTAGGTTTTTGTTCGACTTTATCCATTGTTATATGGTGTTGACCGTGCGCAGAGAAGGAAAAGTTGCTTCGTTTGTTCACAGTATTAGGGAATATAGAAGTTTTTAATCCTGAAAAAACATTCTAAAATACTTATTATTTGTTAATTAATCCTATATGGTTAATATTAATCGTTTATTGAAAAGGCCATTGCCTTTTTTGATGCTTTCTTATTTATCATCTAGTAACTTAATTGTATCCGCGCGGAAATATTTATCCGCATGGTTTGTGGTCATCGAATGAAAGTTTTCACTTTCAAAATGTTCGTACATGAAAATAATAAGGAAATGAGTATTTTTAGCCATACTTGCTTTGGTTCATTGTGCACGGTCGGCATCACTGACGTAATGGTACGGTTCAACCTCAAACGCAAAACAATAGCTTTATTCTATGTAGCTTCCAAACCATTCCGCTCTATTAATTTAACTATATGTTCAAAACAAAATCGCGTTGATCATCATCTCCGTCGCTATCTTCCTGGCTGCTATCCTAACCATGCTTGACAAAGTGACCTTGAACTGCCCTGGTGACGTCACAGCCAAAAATATAAACCTTAATATCTTCAAGATTATAGTTAATTAACAATGTCAAGATGCATCGCTCAAATCCGATAGAAACATTTTTTAACATTTAGCTATTCACTTCATGTAGACTGAATCAATTCTAAGAGTATCTCAGGCATTCCGTGTCTATAGAGCTGAGCGTTTTCACGTGACATCACAGCGGCCATTATGGGGTACCAAAACAATACATTTTCTATCCCCCGGGAATTGAACTCTATTTTTATGCAAATACTGTGCAGAAAGTTTCTATTGTTTATGGCTGCCTTCTCGCGTGAGTGAAAACGCTCTATTAGTGTCTTATGCATGGTTCGATGTATTCTTTTGTGAACGCTTTCATCTAAAGTTACAAAGATTTTCGCTCCTGCTTTCACACGCGAAGAAAAGGTTTGAAGGACTGGGTAAGTAAGTAGTAGTAGTAATTGATCATTTAACATTAAAGTTTAACTCCAAATATACACGGAATTCCAAGAATATTGTCATGATTAATGAATAAAATACAAACAGGAATCAATTAGGAATATATTTTTTTATTCAAAAGCTCCCTAAAATGATGCAAATAAACTGTTTTAGTATATACTAATAAAGTGGTATCAAAAATGTCAGTCTATACCTTCACAGCATTCAATTACTCTTGTTTTTTCTTAAACACATTAAATTAGTTCTACAGACTCTAGAGTTATGAAAATAAATAACGAATTAATTAAATATAATCATTTTACGAATGCAACTTTCTCCCACAGAATATTCGTATACTGAGATATTTTATAAAAACATCTAAGATTACTTTCTAGTTTAAGGGTGTTGTGAAGGTACGAGAAAAAAGCCGAAAATCGTTAGGTCGTGTATTCCGGCTCCCCTTCTCCCGTGGAAAGTAATTGTTTTAAAAGTTATGCAAAAACAAAGAGACTTGATTCATATATAGCTATTACAGTTACTTTTGATAACATAAACACGCGTAAGCGAAGACAAAGGAGAGGGAGAGGGAGAAGGAGAAGGAGAAGGAGAAGGAGAAGGAGAAGGAGAAGGAAAAGAACTTCAAGGAGAAGAAATAGAAGGAGAAAAGACTAACAGCAATACAATAAAAGCTCTAATTTCATTTAAGATCGAGATAATCAACCGTCATGATATCTGCCATTTTAATTCGTAATTAAATTCCAATTCCTCAATTCCTATGTTCCCGATTCCAGATTTTTGGCGTTCCATTTTGCAGAAGGTCACACCGTGCAAACCCTAAATACCGCCAAAGATTTACTTAAGTAAACGGACCTCAAAAGATGGATCTGAAGACCTCAAAGCTCAGTCATGTTGTCCTTGGATTAGCATTTGTGCTCTGTATACAGTTGGGTAAGCATGCAATCATGTGTTCAATAACATTTTAAGGGCTTTTTCCGACATTTCATCATTTTTTTTGAAACGCTAGAGCTCGAGTATCTGACAGAACTCAAGTTTATAAAAGACACTGGCTAAAGTTGAAAGTATTCTTTGTCTCGAAGCAATGGCTCGGAAACTAGTTAAAWGATTTGGACTTAAAGCTATAACTAGCCCATAAACCAGCTGAGCTTTGTAGCAGTTCTATTGTATTATTTCGTGTAATGAAGGCACGAACTATCCTTCAGTCTGCTACTAAATAAGTTTAGTTTTTTGTTTTTACTACGGCTTACTCGAGATATTAGATTCAAGAATCATCGGTGACTTTTAGTTCTTGTATTTGTTACACATTTTGAAATGATTTCAATCAGTATTCGTGTTGTTGGTAACTATTTTTAATCACTAGCACAGTGAACTGAAGCGTTTGACACATTGCAATGTTGCTCAGAATACTGTAACTTGAATTCCAATTGTGACAGAGTCAAAAGACACTATTTTGGACAGTAATTATTTAGTCATAAATCTATATTTTTAATTAGGAATGCCTCGTGTACACATAGGAATGTAATTCTTTAGTTAACTGTTTGCGTGGAAAATGCGTAAGCAAGAAATAATTTCCGTACGTAATTACATTACAGTGAGTCATGCCTAGGTTTGGCGCTTGTTTACGTAAGTTCGTGTTTGGGACATCCTGTTTGCGCCTAGGGCGTGCAACATTGCATAGGATGTGTAAGGTCTTAAGAATGCAGGTTTTCCCATAAAAGTAGGCCCAAACTAAGCTTAAATCAGTGTAGTAAAAGTTCTTGAAGACGTTGCACATATCAAGACAAGGAATTCTCTACGATGTAAAGAGATATCCTGTAATCTCGTTCCCGTTTTTTTTTTTCGAGTATTGTAAAGTTGTGTGAATTTTTCAATAAATTCTTTTGTCAAAACCACTTGCAATCTGATTCATAGCTGAGCGCCTTGCCGCCGGTTACACAATGTCGCTCAGAATCAATCATTTCCGACGGGGGGGGGGGGGGGGGGGAGATAAAATATACCTATTTCAGAAAACGTTGTCATCTGAGATCTGAGACTAAAGAGAAATTTTGTGCTTTTATGATTTCTAGCGTTGAAGATATGAAAAATCACATTTCTAAAAAAAAAGGCCATGCTTCATATACAAATCTAAAAGAAAACTACGTTGTTCTGCTGTGAAAATATTTCAAAATATTTCAAATTTTATATCTCCGACCAACGACGTTTTCCCAAACTATGGAAGATTAAAGGGCTGTCAACTCTCCCGAATAAACCGGGAGTCTCCAGATCTATGACCGTGTCTCGCGGTCTCCAGATTAGAGTATCAAATCTCCCAGATAATCCCTGAAGCTGACCATTTCTTGTCTTGTGAGACTTGACTTTCACAACCATAAAATTCCAATTATTTCATGTTGTTTGTGTTATTTTACATCGCTAACAAAATCAAAATGTTCCTCATAAACTGTTCTTGCAAGCAGGCCATTGTAATATAAGCGATAATCTGATTGGTCAGAAATAAACCAATCACATCAAATGTTACAAAGCGAAAGACATCTTTTCGCACGCTTTTTGATGCGCTGTGACGTCATGTCACTTCCCTATCAATTCTCCAGATTTGAATATCTCGGGGGTTGACAGCCCTGGGTAAAACTCTGGTTTATAAAATGTTTGACATATCAGAGCTATCACTTCAGCTGCAGAATAAAATTCAATAGTCCTAATAATGTTGTTCGCCATTCTGTCCCCGTCATAAACAAGCTGTGACGTCATAGTGAAATAGGGCAATGGCAGATATCAAAATTGCAGTCTTAATTTGCCTCCAAACAATTGTTGCATTTGGGTGAGGTGCACTGACTAGAGGGGAATGGTTAGGAAACCCTATCGTTATAGGTCTTTGTTCAGTTTTTTCAAGCGTGACCGTGCACAATCCTTTGTTTTACCATTGTTTTACCATTGTTGGCAATGGCTGAGTGAACAGACCAAAATCTTTCTTTTTCCTGCTAGTTCAAAATACTTAAAGATTTATAAGAGATTTTTGAATATTCCTTACAACAATCCCATACCCAAAGTTTATGTTTACTTATTTTGCAATTTCAGATGAGCATAAATCAGACATTGTGCACGGTTAAGACTGGTTCAACATCAAAAGCGAACAAAGACCTGATAACAATAGGTTTCCTAACCATTCCCCTCTATTAACTATGATAACATATGACGTTTAAAAAACTTTGTAAGAAATTGCACAACTTTGCACTAAGTTCAGTAGACCTCAGTAGACCGTAGACCTACAAAACTTTGCACTAATTTGTACAATTTTGTTAGTTAACTTTTTCATGGATATATGGTATGCAAACTACCAGCTTCATAATAATTTAAATATGAAGAAAATGTCTTTTTTGTTTTGACAGTTCTTGTAAAAGCTGACATAACACAAGCTGATATTGACAACATGGCATCCAAACTTGACCTCCGTTACAAAGTCATCAGTAACTTGGCTTATAAAGGAGAAAAGTACACTGCGAAGGTTAATCTAACCAATAAAGGACAGCTGCCAATCAAAAAGAGTGACTGGACTATCTATTTTTGTAGTATTAGACTCGTCATCCCTCAGACAGGAAGCCCGCCAGTCAAATTTGAACATATCAATGGCTGCCTACATAAGCTTCAACCTACAGCCAAATTCCCAGATCTGTTGCCTGGCAACAGTTTTGACATTGATGTGACTGCGAAGCACTGGGTTGCAGCAAGGACCGATGTCATGCCCAATTGGTATGTCTCTGCGCCTGGGTTAAAGCCAAAGGTTATCACCAGCACAGTTGGAGAGAGCTTGGACTTTGTTGAGCCATTTTTGACAAAAGAGCAATGGAAGCGTTTTCCGGGCGATGCTTACGACCCATACACTGCGAAAAAGAGATACGATGAAGTAGGTATTGATGTCATTAACTCTCAGGATATACCGCTCATTGTTCCTCAACCTTTGTCAATGACGGGTCTAGACAAAGACAAGAGAATGACTATTGATAGCGAATGGAAGATATATGCTGATAGTAAACTAACTACAGAAGCAAAGGTGTTGGCTGGTAAGAATCAATTGCTAATGAGTGATTTTTGACCTTATCAAGTGTTGCTTTGTTGGTTAGTGTGCTGCCTGCTAAGCAAGAGGTTCATAGCTTGATCCTCAGTGACCTCACACACTTGTTTTAAGGAGCAAGAGTGGCTTGGTTGGTTAGTGTGCTGCCTGCTAAGCACGAGGTCCATAATTTGATCCTCAGTGACCTGGTACACTTGTTTTAAGGAGCATGTGTGGCTTGGTTGGTTAGTGTGCTGCCTGCTAAGCAAGAGGTCCATAGTTTGATCCTCAGTGACCTCACACACTTGTTTTAAGGAGCAAGTGTGGCTTGGTTGGTTAGTGTGCTGCCTGCTAAGCAAGAGGTCCATAGTTTGATCCTTAGTAACCTCACTGTTTCAACTTATTTTGAATCCCCAGAACTTGTTGCTTTAAATGCCCTTAAAACAACTTCAATAGAATAAACCACATTTTGCTTACTCACTTTCGATTTATTTTTTACCATCCAGATAAATTCTCCATGACTGTTGTCACGTCAGCACCCAGTCCATCAACCAAAGTCTTGCGCGTTGCTATTGGCAACATCACTATTGCAGGAAGCCATTCCAACAGCCTTGAAGCGTATACCCTAGATATAAAAGTTTCAACGCAGATGATCAATATCGTAGGGAGAAGTGCAGCGGGTGTGTTTTACGGAATACAGTCCTTACTTGCTATTACAGATGACAATGGTGAGTCTCACATAGACCGACACGGGTGAAAGACGCACTGCGCATGCTTTGAAAATAGGCGGGAAATTTGTAGACGCCTCGTATTTAAGGAATATAAAACGCGCGCGCGCGTCTCTGTACTGTTATACAAACACGCTGGGAGCTGTAGAGCACGAGAGAAGCAAGCTTAGGAACGACAAGGCATAGCTAAGTGTCTCTTGCTTCTCGAGTGCTCTACAGCTCATAGCGTGTATATATCACAGAACAAATATATCAAAACCTGTTTTATATTGCTTTTACAAAAAAAATATTTTAAAACAATTTTGTACGAGCATGTCGGTATCTCGGTTTACAGTCATTTCGCCCACGCCAATTCGCCCACGCATAAAATCATCGCTACCACTTGGAAATTACCAAAACAGAACTTCGATGAGACTTGTTAAAAAGAAGCATAGTCTCTTGAAAGACATTTGTATATGATTTTGAAGCATATTTGGAGCGATCATTCCATGATACGATCAGTGAAAGTAGAGATCTAAACGCGACCAAGGACAGCGTTCACTTAATAGCTACCATATTGAGTCCGTTTCTACCAGCTTATGACTCGGATGACTTTATTTCCC